TTAAAACTTGAATGTTTGTGAAATAATTAATAAATTAACCTCCATAATGATTTAACCCCTTAGTGTTGACAGTTCAGTCAAACATAGCTGTTTGTGTTAAACTGGACTGAACAGGAAAAAACACACTTGGATTTTATTAGTCATATGCACTTTAAATTGTTTATTTTTGTGTTGTAAGGTAAATTTAAATCTTCCAGTCACACTGTTCCTATTCACCAAGAATCTTGATGCAAATATTCTTGAATTCTTTCCAAAATTAATGAATTTAATGAATTTTAATGAAATTTTAACCTTTGACCTTTTGAATGTTTTTTTTTTGTAATCTTTTACAAAATTAATCTGCAGGATTTTGTTAATATTTTTTTTATGAATCTGTACTTTTTTTTTATAAATCTGGAAAAATTGTACATTGGTGCAGAATTAACAAATGGATATTAAAAAAAATATGCAAAATTGACTACAAAATGGTAGCAGTAAACAATATGACAGAGTACCAGTAACAGATTTCATTTGACTTGTAGATTGGCTATAATAAACATAACTTTATTGTAAATGACAACAAAAAATTACCATTTAGGTGAAAGGAACATAATGTCTATTTCTTGCATTTCTCTAAACTAAAAAAATCTGTAAATATTTTTTTCAACAGATGGTTGACATTCATAAATATTTGATTTGGTTTGACAGAAAAAAATAGAAAACAACTGTCAATAACTTGATTTATTAGTGGTGAGACAGGTTTTATTTTCATTTCATTTTTCCATTACAATTTAGGTAAAATAACGTGAAATCTCACTGGATGTTTTAACTATTGGTCTATTTTTTACCCATCCAATAAAAAAACGTTGTTTTGATTTATGATGAGGGTAAAGAATTACATTTCATGAGTTTTTGGCAAAAAAAATTGAGCATTTAAAAAAAAAATTACTGCAATTAATCAAATTAAAATAAATGAACTTTTCATGTAAAAAAGCCTCACAAAAAATAAATATTTAAAATAAATAAATAAGTAAAAATTAAAACAAAAAGCCTTTTAGTACAAAATTATTGTAAATTATATTCTACCTTAATTTATTTATTTGTGAGAGTGTTTTATACTTGATTTTGGAAAAAAACCCATAATTTGGATATCTTTGTACAAACCTGCAGTGGAATAATTATGTTTGAAAGGCACAGAATGAACAAAACATCAATCATATTGGTGATGTGTCCTGGAATAGGAAGGCCATTTGGGTGATAAAGGCAAAGATGCCAACACCATGATTGATAAGCACTGTAACAACCCTATAGAGAAACAACTTTATTTCTCAGCAATGCTGATTTCATTACCGCATCATTAGACGCCGGAAATATATCAAAAATCATCAAATCTATCCAACAGATTTGCGGCCTAACTACTTTGCTAATTAATGCTGGTGAATTGAAATTGACGTAAAAAATACCGCCACAAAACAACCAGCCCCGACCTTTGAAATCGCTTATTTACGCTGAATTTATTGACTTTGTAGTGCAATTGCACTGCAAGACAAATACAATATTTCTGACGATGAAGAGAATTTTTTTTTTTTATTTCTGCGAACCTTGCTACTTTAAAAGGATCACGGCAAGCAGGTCAATTGAAACCTTCATTTGTATTCAAAATATTCAGTTGGTCCCTCGGTGAAAAAATCACAATCAAAGAAGATCTGTCAACTTCACTGAAAATTCATTACTGTAATTACAAAAGTGAAGTAAATTGCAAGATTTGGCAACTTGCATTATCTTTTCCGATCTGCCACTAAGAAGATTTTTGCTAGTTTTGAATTAAGAGTTTTAGAGGAGAACATCAACATGTCATCTGCGCACTAACACGGTGAAAAATGAGAAATTTCTGAAAATTCACTGAAAAAATAAAACATTTTATTTCTCCAAAATCACTTTAATTTAAACTGCGTCACATTTCCAATAATTTATATATGGATTGAAGCCTTCAATCATGATAAATTCTACTTAATAAAATTAGCATCATTTAATTTAGAAAATATTCTGATTAAATGCACATCAAAATTCATAAATATATCATCTTTTTTTTGAGAGCTGGCTTCACGTGTGATTAATTTCAATCAAAAATCTGTAGTAGTTGATCATCAGTTTCATCAAGATTTCTTTCAGCGCATTTTCCCATTCCAATTTTGAATACATTTCACCCATGATTTTAAATAGACTGCATAAATTGAGTGATGCATGCTAAAGAAGAGCTGTCACTGAGAAGACGATCACTTTAAACTATTACATTTGGGCTGCTAGAAATATTCAAAGCTTTGGTAATACAAGGGCATCACAATATGACGAAAGTCACTATAATTTCCCGTGACTTGAGCAAAAATGAAACGGTTCATAATATTTTTTTAATTATCAACGACAGCTTATTTTCATTGAAAACAAAATTTTTAAATTACAAAGTTTGCCTACTCTGAGTTGTATAAATACTGTAAAATACTTTATTTAAGCTGGAATTAATTTTCGCTGAAAATTGTTTTTAGGTGTTTTGTATGGAATTTATTTTCTCTGATTTCTGATGAATTGAATGTAAAATATAGGAAAAAAGGTATATTCGCTGGATTTTATTTTCACTGAATCATTCCTTCATTGAAAATAGCGAAAATAAAGTATTTCAACAGTACAAATTATTGACCCCCCTCGACTAATCTCCAATCTAAACACAAACAGATTATATATCAAAATGCAACCAGTCCTGCCAATTCACAAAGCATCCTAAATTTGGTGATCATTTTGAATTATAAAAACAAAACAAATCGAGACCAATTAGCTGGTAATTTAGCAATTTAAAACAGAATCTAAAAATAATAGTGATGGAGAAGCATAAAATTAGTGTAATATTTCCATTTTTCATTTGCTATTTAGAGAATTGTAAATATTGATTTGAACATAGACGCACCAACTGCTACATTCAAAATATTCATAGACTATTTCCTAAACATTACTTTTAAAATTTTTCTGCATAATGACTATTTGAAAATACTGCTTTATTTTCAGAGACAAATTTGGTGATTCTGTGAAAAACACAAGTCTTTGTGGTTTAGAAAATGTTATCTGGGTTAAAAATTAAGATTATTATGTGACCTGTTTGATGAAATGCAGTCATCACAAACCCAAAAACAATTTAGTGAACATTTTTAGCAACAAAAATAAAATGGCTGACATTATCAAAAGTTAAAATACTGACAAATTGTACATGTCATTAATATTTCAAGGCTAATTACTAGGTTTTCAATCACAAATTGGACAGTGAAATTTCACACGTTCACATGATTCAATTTAGTAGATTTCATCTATCCAAATTAAAAATTCTAGTAAATGCATTTACATTATAAATGACAAAAGCTACATTTTTCAAAATATATCTTCCCAGATTCCCTCGCTAGTTTAAAAGCCTCGCATGTAGTTAAAATTCAACGTAGGGTAAGAGCAGTACGCACAGGGTCACACCGTACATATATTAAACCACACAGAATATATCAAAAGCAAACACGGTTTACATCGAGATCGACGATAAATTCACGATCCAATGAAATCATCTGTTAGCCAGACGACACAAATATGTTCTCTTCAAAAATGCTTAATATCTGTTTATTTTAATTTTATTGCAATTCAAGAGTAATATTCGTATTCGATGACACAAAAATACAAAGCACACATGTCCATTCTATATATTTTATTTATAGGTAAAAAAAATATACAATATTTTCAGTTATAGATTAAGAGGCTTACTTTCGATAAAATTTGGTGTTGATTGGTTGCATGCGGTTGACAATATATCAGTCACCCAACAGTCATAGGATATAAATATTTCCCGGCATGAAATAGTATAATCGACCAAATTCTGAATTTTACAGGTTTATTTAAGCGGAGTATGAGCAATAAATTCCCTAGACACTCAATAGATCAAGATGCTCTTGCATCACAGGGTTTAGAGTTGCTATGAGGTAATCTTAAGGACTGATGACATCACAGACACATTGCATCATGGGACAAAATCTTTCATAAATTAGATAAATTATTTCAAGTATATGTTCCAAATCAACTCAAGGTTGCAAGTTCTTTTTATGCCGGATGTTACAAACTTCAAAAATGACATTTAGCTTAATTAAAAAAAGCATTGAAAAAAAAATATATATAAATTTTTGCAATTAAAAAATATGATTGAATCATTCTTAAAAAAGTTTTAATTAAATATAAAATGTCCTCTACGTGGCTTCTCTTTCAGGTGATTTCAATACATTGATTACATCTGCAAACTTTGCCATCACTAGCTATGAATAGAATTAATCCATTGTTATTTCTGCCATAATTTCCTGTAATTTGTGATTACACAACATACATGTATGCTCAGTCCCTCAGATTGACCCAATTATCCCTACACAAAATGGACACTGCCAAGTAATACCAACTGATGATTGGTCACTTGCATAGTTGCTTGAAAGTAAATCTGTACTATCAGGGAGAATTATTTTTTTGTATGATTCGAAAAAAAAAAATGTTGTCGATTGAAAAATCCTTGGTTTCCTGGCTCCCAAAAATAACAATAGCAACTTTTAAAAAGTTCATTATGGATTATTAAAAATTAAAAATATGAAGTAATATATGTTCTTTTTATGAGACATGGCAACATAGCAAATGGTTTTATAAACCACATTTCTAAATAAAATCACAAAAATAAATAAACAAACAGCTACAGTTTTCAAAATTAAAATTCAGTTTTTGGTCCTCTCTGATACAAAAAAATAATATATAAAAATGAAAAAAGTTTCAATAAAACGAAAGAAATAGAAATAATATTTACATATGCGAATCTATCCAATTTGCATAAAATTGCAAACTGATAATATCAAAGTGTATATACATTGGGGTTTCTGCTAAAAGTACAATAAGTTCATACAATGAAGCAAGTTTGCTTTGATACCATACAAAATTTAGGGGTGGAAGGTATCAATACTGTTTCAAACGGGAAGCTTATTAAGAATCTCGTCCCAGTCCGAGTTATTTAGAGAGTCCAGGATATCGGAATCACTTCCCAATGCTGAGTTTACTAGGAGATCATCACCAAGGGGAAAATCTGTGGTTTGAATTGCACTATTGTTTGCATTGCTATATACTGGATTAGCACTAGTATTCGATATATTATGTTGAGTCACAGTTGGCATAGCAACCCGGCTTTGTGTACCTCTCTGGTTTAATTGTCCCTGTAATGCATAGTTCATCTGGTTCGGTTGACTTGCCATGCTTTGACCTAAATTTGACTGTGATTTATATTGTTGTTTTTGTTGTTGTTGGGCACTGAGAGTGTTCTCATGGAAACTCTGTGGATTGTTTACTCTGGAATTACTATAGTTACTATTTGGGGGCAATGTGATGTTGTTTGATCTCTGTGACTGGGTTTGGCTCGAAGGAAAATTACTGCCAGGCCTGGGTGGCGTACCTCTGTTCCATTCACCACCTGAGCGGTTAATTGGTGCTTGTGACGGCGGTTGTTGTTGCTGCTGTTGCTGCTGTTGTTGTTGTTGTTGTTGCTGCTGCTGCTTTGCATAGGCATTTCCACTCATTGCTAAAGCAACGTTTAATGCTCTTTCTCGCTGAAGAGCATCGCCATTGTAACCAGAAGGTCCTAAAGGATCATTTGGTCCCCCACTGATAATGTTTGTGTTCTGACCTGGACC